TATGGCGCTGGATCAGTTCAAAAATGTACACACAGGAAAGTCACACACACACACGCATACGACACACACACAGTAGTTAAACACACACATGTATTGTAGTATTGTAATATATTCAGTACTACAGGCGCATTTCCGGCAAAATCTCACTTGTATTGAAGAAAATTGAACACTTCTGATGACCGAAAGCAAAGCGGCCAAAGTTTCGAGTCTCCCTGGCCTATGAGATCAGCGCGCTGATGGCAGGTCCAGCGGTGAAGCGAACGCGAACATCTTGTGCTTTAATGGCGGTGGTACTGGTACTGGCTCGTGTTTTGGGATACCTGGTGAAGACGAAGCTGAAACGATGTGAGCCGTACAATCCTTCATACCTGGGGGCGTTGGAGGAGATGCTGTTGATGCTGTTGATGTCGATGTTGAATAACCTGGTGATGGCGTGTCCGGCAATGTGGGTGGTGTGATGTAGGAAGAATTGGGTGGAGGGAAAGCTGGCTTTGGTGGCGAAGGATAATGATGACCATATGTGGGTGTAGGTGCCAAAGCGGCTGGAGGAGGTGGGAAGGGATTCGTAGTAGGAGGATGGGTTGTCTTAGATGATGAGGGAAGAATGTAAGTACATCTCGCGCTCCATCTGGTTAATTTCGCGCAATTGGAACATGCTGATGCAAAATTGGTGTACATACCCTCTTTGTGGCTGACGAGAATGTAAGACCGCGCTTCTTGAGCCAGGAGACGGACACGGCTAAGAGCAAGTTGGCGAAAAATTCAATGAGATTTTCATTGACAATGCCATCGGATGCAACGATGAAGGCGAGGATGTGTGAGATAAACTGATAAACTGATTTTTTCAAATAAACCAACCAGCATTTAATGAAGAATAAGTTGGCGGGATAGGAATTAAAATAAGAGTATAATAGTAGTATGGGCTCAGGATGAAGGATTAAAACGAGTGAGGAAGATTAAAGGGCAAATGACATAGGATTCAAAGGAGTGAGGGGAATTAAATGGGATGATGAGACGTTCGCACAAATTAAAGCCAAAGTTTGATAGAGCCAATGAAGTAGTCCGTCGTCCAGGAGTTGTGGAACGGACGTGACAATGGATCATTGACATCTGGGTGGCCGCGCAACAGGTCATTCAGTGTAGGTTGGACCGAAACGAGAGGCTGGAAGAGTGGCCGATTAGGTAGGGGCATTGCGGACACATGAGTCTGAGCCTTTGCGAAGTCTTGCAGGTCGATATCCTGGTGTTCTTCGTCCTTGATCAATGGCATCATTGGATTATGGCGTGGAGCACGTTTCTGAGTCAGTGGTGAGATTGACATCCCTTTCAGACTAGCTGGAAGGGCGTTGAGACTGTTGTCCGTATCAGAGTCACTTGAACAGAAAACTGTAAATTCCAAGTGTTAGACATTTGACTTCTGCCAGAAAATAAAAACTCGACACTTACGTTCAACTTTGCCTGAGGATCTTCCCGACTTGTTCCCCGTTTTCGATGCAATGGGCCGTCCATGAGCTGATTTTAAATATTATGTGTCAGTAGTGTTCCCATACAATTAAATGGTAGTACTTACTTCCACGCATTTTCTTCTGGGCTGGTTCTTGACGGGTTCCACGTTGCATTGGGCGTTTTGGACGCACTGAAGTAAGTAACACAATGAATTTTAAACACAGCGCTGCGCTCGAGAGTGTGCACGTGAGACTAACCAATCTTTGGAACTTGAGTGAATACATCGTCTTCGATTTTAAGCCCCGGGCCATACTCTTGTTTATGGTCGTTGTCATCGCCGTCGTCACCGTCATCGCTGTCATCAGCTATATCGATAATGACCATGTCTGGGTCCCAGCGTGCATAAGTATGCTCAGGTATGAATTTCCGGATACCTATCATTGTGCATACACTGATTAGAAAATTTAGGACGAATTTATTAATGACTCACCGATAAAAATATTTGTCTGTTGAAGTGGGGCATTGCTTCTGCCTTTGTACCGCTCGAGATGTTTGCCAGTTGGGAAGGGCTCAGGTGTGACACTCAGCCTGCGGTTCTCTTTTGAAATTAACACCCATTCAGATGCCCCATTGTCTGTAGCCTTCCCCTTTACATCACCAACCTTTACAGAGTCGAGGTATTCAAAGACTTTTGGAAATAGTCTTCGAATGTAAGCATCAACTTCCTCAAATGTCCAGTCCAAGCAAAAGCTGAAATCCACACTGCCGCCGTCCTCAGACTGATCTCCATCAAAGTGAGCACATCCCCTTCGCTTGAACTTTGACATCTCTGTCTTGACAGGCGGAATTGTGGTCAACAACTCTCCTTTGTCCTTTCAGTCACCGGTAAGCTCATACTAGCCATAGCTTGTTCGAACTAACATACATCAAGGTAATTGACCAAGACGGCAATGGCACCAACTTTGATCAGGACATGACCTTGCTTTGAAGAGCTGGCCTGTCTCGAGGATACAATCCTGCCCTAGGCAATACCAGTCATTTCGAACACGCAAAAGTTAGGTAAATTACTCACTGGGAATTTCTGCTTTGCAGTTGGGCGAAATCCTGCCATCACCTCATCTCTCGCAGCCGTCACAGTAGTTGTATTCTGACTACCTTGTCCAGCTCGTCGAGCGAGTGATTGCTTGAATATAGCTGTCACTCCAGCTCGTTCCTTTGCAGTAGTGACTGCTGGTAGCTCAGCCACTGGCAGTACAGGTGGTTGAGGTCGCGGATGTTTGCTCTTCCCATGCAAACATTCAGCGCAAAGCTCTTTTTGGCCAACTGGAATATTGGTGGGTGCCGAGTACTCTTCACAATAGCAGGGTACTGATTCATCAGGATTGCCCTTGCAAAATGCTGGCTTCGGCATTCTAAGTGAGATGGAGGAGAGGACCAGAACACAAATTAGTCGGCGAGGTGCGGAATTTGTATACAATGGTCCTGGGTCCCTCCAAATTTTGTAAAGTACTACTTAAGCGACTCAAAAAAATTCATTTGCTTCAAAGTGATCAAGAACGCTAGATGCCTGAGCCCATAATGTTGAGCGAGTTCTCCAGATAGGGTCAGCCAATGATATCTCCACGTGATGCTCCCTCCGCCTTCCAACTCGTAGGTATTCACTTGTGTTTTCGTCATACTCATCTTCACCCTCCCGTAAATTGTATCCCTCCAGTACAATACCCTCCATGACAACCACCTCAAGTATTTCGAAGAACATACTTTCATCCTCTTCGTTCCGAAAAGGAGTATTGCTGTCTGGAACCTCTACAGCATCATGCTGGACATCATTTGCTTGTTCCTGCTCAATGCGGTCAATAATATCATCTTCGGCTGGTTCATCTTCCTCGTCACTTGGGTGGCCAGCACCTGTCTGATTTCGATGACAGACAACCTCCCGGCCATGAATACCATAATAGCGCTGCAGAACTGTAGGACAGATACCCTCGAACTCGTCTTCATAGATACCTAATGATGCCTGTCCTAGAAGGCGCATATCCTTCATAGTTATGAGATAACAATTCTGCACTACTGAATATTCACTGACCTGAGGGCTTCGATCCCTGGTATCAGAACCATGAATAGGATGCAAATTCCATTCTTGTTGAAATTGTCGACAATCATCATTGAGCGCATTTAAGAAGAGCACACTGAGGAGCCACAGATACCCAGGCTTGTCAACATCGAGTTTATGAAGTCGTTCGAGCCTGGTAAAGAATCCCCGCCACCGGCGTACAAACTGTGTGCCTACTTCAACCCACAATCGTTCGATGCGAGAATTCCGTGTTGATCTAACATGCATTATTATTCAAGTAAATTTCTAGAGGACTCCACTTACGATCCCCATAGGAATGAGCCACGATTGTGACCATTTGTCGCAATCATGTGTGTGGCAACCTGAATATTCTCGCCGCCACGATCTCCACGAATACGAGATGGGATGCCATATTCATCCTTTGCGTAGATGAATAAATCCAACACAGTTGATGCACAATTATTTGTGCTGACTCGTAGTGCTGTTATCTGTTGGTGCATAAGGTGTATTGTCACTTTTATAAATTAATTGACTTACAGTGCGACAATACCCGTCAATGAAACCATGGATGACGAAGCCCCATCGAATGAGCTTGTGATGACCATCTACATGCCATAGTGCATTTGGTCGAGCGACTCGGTATTTTCGTCTTCTGGTAACACGTCGTTCTCTCAGCCTTTGTCCCAGCCTGTCAACTCTGCGCAGGGACTGCCAAATGCGATGCTGCTGAACTCGAAAACCTTGGCGTCGAAGGAAGCCAACAAGGTACCGGAATCCTGATTCTGGTTTACTTTCTTTGAAAGTCCTCACAAGTTGATCGAGATCAGCATCACTAATTACTGTAAAGTGTTTTTCTAGGCCATGTTGACGAATAAATTTCCACAGAGTAGTGCGGGACACTTGGAGGATTCGTGCGAGATCTGGCAGCATGATGTGGTGTTGGTTAGATAGGGCTTTACTGACGAAATCGAAGTTAATGATTTTCTTCCGACGCCCAAGTCGACATTGCTGATGGCCCAGAGTCACAAGCTCCGGGATTATCACATTTGCCCGTTCAGCATTTCCCCTGGATTGAAGTATATTTAGATAGCAGAGTGTCAGGCAAGTGAAAGACTTACACATGAAGATTTCCGCTGATATCCTTGAGCATTGCGGCTACCTCCCCAATAAGCCTAGCACATACTAGTAGCCAGTCATGCAGAAGCTGGTAATCAGCAGGACTTGTATCACTTTCAATGGCTTCAAGCAAAGGTAGGGCCTCTGTGGACAGTGCATCATAGTGGTACGCCACTCTGGTTGGTTCTGCGTCATTTGACCGAAGTATTCTAATTGCAGCATTGTATATATTGCTGATGATACCCTCCGCAGTATAGACATTTTGTGGCCATCGATTCTCGTGTTCTGGTAGAGCTGGAAGATCCATGGTTGGTGAATAGAGGTGATAAAGCGGTACACTACATTTACGTCCTTTGTGCTCCGACTTGAATTCAAACTTCAATTGCAGACCATCATGTTTGGGGCCCCAAGTCTTCTTAGGTTTCGACACCGCCGTTTCTATATACTCGATGGTACTCATATTTTCTTGGTCAGATGTTTTCATTTGACAATACTGTAGACTAACGGTCAAAATGCAGGTTGAAAATGCATTGTTCAAGGTCCATGCAACTCAATTATCACGCACATCCATTGTGTTTGAGGAGATGTTTTCTGTTGGTAAGTCAATTGCCGCTGACAGTAGGCATGGAAGGCTCAAGCGATGATCATCCAATTATCATTCCCGAACTCAGCATGAATATGTTCGAACTGTTCCTCTCAGTTGCATACAACAGGTAAGACAGTTCTTGAGGTACTGCATTTATTCTAAATGTAGGACTACGCAGTTGGAAACCCGAAGGTCCCACTCATGATGATGTCCTCGACCTTCTTCGTTTCAGCAACAAGTTCATGAGTCAAAAGGCTCGTGATGTCGCCATCAATCACCTCCATGAACGTCGATTTCAACACAAACCATACGAACTTCTCGCACTCTGCCTCGAATTTTCAATTTCAAAGTTCTTTGTTCCCGCTTTTCGCCGTCTCGTCGAATTTCGCATCCGTGATATTCCAGGACCAGTGCGAAGGAGACTTGGGTTTGAAGTCTGGAATGCCTTCGTAGATCTAAAAGAACTTCTCGATGAGCATAACCGTATTGTTGCCTGCGAGGAGCCACCCATTGTCACGCATTCACCATACTGCACTGACAACACCGCATGTTTCATTGATTGGCGGCAACTATGGTGGAACTCAATGGCTCGTTTCCTCCTTGATGGCCGCAATCCTCAAAAATTCCATGAAGCTATCGAGCGCTTCCAGGAACTTGGGCCAGAAATTGGAAGGGTCAATCCGGAGTGCTGGAAAATGCTGCTTCAGACGGTGAAGAATGCAACAGCATTCTGTCTCGCTTTTGATCTCGTCGAGGAGACAGCTCAGCAGTTGTCGGCGGCCCTGATCACGGAGCCTGCCCCAATGTTGACGAAAGCCGAATTGGATACCTTGGGCTTGCCAAGCCATGAAGAAATTTTATAAATGGGACGGATATCCTCCGAGTCAATTCCTCAATCGTCATCTGATGACTTGGTTGGCGAGTCTGGTGAGACTCGGATATTTGCCAGGGCTGCAGCGGCCCAATGATTCAAGCCAGTTTAGTTAGAACAATTGACTTAAAAATGCACCTGTAGTACTGAATGTGTTGCAATACTACAGTACATGTGTGTTGAACTACTGTGTGTGTGTCGTATGCGTGTGTGTGTGTGACTTAAGTGTGTGTACATTTTTGAACTGATCCAGCGCCATACGGATGAATATTTGATGGGTTTGAGACGAGTATTATCAGTCACACTTACATACACATCGTAGATAAATAAATTACATGATACCTTATATCAGTTCATCCAAAGTCATATCTCCTGGTATGTGTTCTAGAACGGTTGCTGTAATTAATGCATCTGACGCAACACAAGGCGGGATGGAAGTCGTTGCCACGACATTCATGCTCTGGCTCATGAGGGGAGGTCGTGTCACACGGGTTAAATTCGTCCGAGGCTTGCTATCTCCTGGAACCGCGACGGACTTGTACATCATGATTTCATGCAACAAGTCCTCGTTTGCTGCAGATATGGTGTCCCGGTCGCGGATACACACAAGTAGTTTCTGGTAACCGTAAGTCATGAGATGAGACGAACAATGAAGATACATACCTGCTTGACCTCGGAGAGCTCCCGACGAATCCTGTCGACGTATAAAATCCTCTGAACAGGATTTTTATGGCCAAGAATTTCGGCATTAAACTTGCTGAGATTTTCGGCTTCTTCCTCTGCAAGGTTGTTTCTCGCCACTATTGCTTCAGTCTCATCCACCAAGTTATAGTATGCTTCCTGGAAACGTGACAAATCTGCCTGCTCTGCCTGCAACCTGTGTAGGTTTCTCAGGTCAATTGTCTGTGGTTTAAGTACAGGCGGCGGGATACATACTGCTCGATATCAGCCTTGAGAGCGTCCTCAGCCGTCTTGCTGACGTGGAGTGCAACAGACAGTTTCTGAGAAGTGTCGCGCTCCCTCTGTAAAGCTTGTGTGTGGCTCGCCGCCATGTCTCGCATATTATTTTCGAATTCGTCCACTCGACGCTGCAACATATGTTGTTCTGCACGACCTTCCGTCAAAGAATTTTGGGCATCAGCCAGAGCGCGCTGTCCGGTGGTGATTTCAACCTGTGCTTTTGTGAGCTCGGCCCGTACAACATCCACTTCGACTGAGTTACGACCAAGTTGGTCGATGAGTGCACGGTCAATTTCATGCTGCTTCTCGAGAATGCCATGAAGGCAAGAACACTCTGAAAGTAACTCTTCAATACGAGAGTGATGGAAATCGGATATAGTCCTAGTGCACTCCAGAGCACTTTCCTGGACCGCTATGGTTTCTCTAGATATGTCTGTTTCGCCCTGGTGGATGTCTCCCTCTAGACAAAGGAGTTCACGAAGCGCAGTGCAGTGGGAGCAGCAACCGAGGACAGCTTGATTCTCCTGCAAGGTTTGCAAGTGGAAAGCCGCTTCTTCCTGAGTGTCGCGCAGTTCTTGACACAAGAGTGTATTTTCTTCTTGAGTGTGGCGGACAAGGTTGGCGAGCTCAACAACTTGACCTTCTGAGTTTGCTAGTTTTCGTTCCAACCGGAATACACGTAATTGAAGTGCGGTATGGTCCTTCACAAGTGTAGTATGACTTGATGCAGCGACGCTTGTTGTGGCCAAGCGACCATACTCCTCCGCAACACGAGAAAGGACGGAACGGCATTGGTCCAGTCGAGCTGCAAAATCGTTCTCTTGGTTCTCGGTTCGCCCTCGCAAAGATGTAAGTGCTTGGCGAGCATCTTGGCAGTCCTTGTTAGCCGTGTCAAGCTTTGCTTGGATTATTATCATCATGTCGCGTGATTTCCGTGCTTCTTCATCCGCCTTTCCTTTCGTCTCGTTGACACAGCTTTCCAAAATATCTTTCTTCTTCCTCTCTGCAGATACAGCCTTTTCTAATTCTGCAATCTTCCTCTCACGTTCCTGAATTTCGTCCTTCCTCCTTGCCTCGAGACTCTGCAGTGCTTTCTTCGTCTCGCCGCTCTCCCCCTGCTTGCTGACGAGCTGTGTGCGCTCATGTTCGAATGTGCGAAGTTTGACACGTAGCTCCTTCAGCTCGGTTTGATCAGCAGCATTGTTCTTTTTGTACTCCTGGATTCGCGATTCGAGTATTTCGTTATGTTTCTTGAGCTTGTCCAGTCTCTCACCCTGCTCCAAGCTGGCCTTCGAAAGACGAGCAGCTTCAAATTTATAGCGTTCGATTTCGGTTTGATGCTGTATAACACAGCTTGAGTCCAGAGTTTGGAAAGCGATCAAAATATTATCCTACCGTCTTCTTACCATCAGCGTGTACTTTTTCCAAGTCTTCTAGTTTCTTCAATAGTGTCGTGTATCGATCGTCGCTTGCATGTTTAGCAGCTAAAGCTTTCTGCACAGCTCTCGGCACAGAATTGTATGAATTTGGTCCTGTAGATCTATTGGTGCTGTACTGCCACAGAACCGTCAAGCTCACCTGAAACACTGCATACCTTTTCCTTCGAGAAACGATCGGTTTTGTTCAGAAATGAACCTCGTTTGTTCGCGTCTAGCGGGTCTTATCGCAGCATTCATGTCAGAAAAATAATGCAAATGCATTCATTATTTCACGTACCTTCTGGCAGGTTGTAGGTATCTGGTCCTGGAGCATTGGAAACTGCAAGAGTCGGAATGATGAACTGCGTGTCGTTACAAAGACCCAGACACGTACTTTTCTCTGTCGCAAAACGTGAACCCTTGGGGAATGACATATCTTGTCGACTTTATGATACGTTCGGTCCCCGTAAAGTGTAGTATGTCACGACGACCGCTGGTTAGTATGTAGGTTCAGTTCAATAGCTCAAACATAGATCAATAAACGCGTCGCCGGTCATGACACTCACGTGATTGAAAACAGACGCGTCTCGCGCGGCCTGGAACTGAGGAAAGCAAGCAGATACAATCGTGAGTGAGTAGCGTTAACACTACAATTATGATAGTTCGTCATGTATCGTGATTTTGTGCGAACAAGATAAGAGAGGCATCGCTGTACGTGTGAAATGAAAACAGAAATAAAGATCCAGGAAGGAAATGTTACAATGTTAATACTAGTTATGCAAGTAGAAGATATATCGCAATATGCTCTTGATGGCAAGAATTACTGGTAACGATCGGCGTCGTACGAATGCATCCAACACTGGAAAAATCGCAGCCCCAAACCAGATGTCAACATGATGTTCCAGATGATATCTCATTAAAAAATTGCGAGGTCAAAGCAGTCGCAGCTCACAGCCCTCTTGATTTCTTCTTCATTAGATCCAATACTCCATCACTCATACTGAGATCAGCATCCAAGACCCCACGAACATCTCTTACGCCACCAAGATCCACAAGGAAAGGACAGAGATCAGTGAGCTCCGTGTCATGTGGATCATTAAACCAGGAAGAAACAGGGATCGCATTATTGGGGTGGAAAGTATATGATGCCGGAGAATTGTCCAGAATGACGATACTTGCAAGCGGGCGACCCAGCTGGGAGAGATCCTAGATAGAGTAAGCGAACAGCGAAACATGCAGGAAGCATGTGTCCATTACCTTGACATAGTCTCCATTGTGGCTATAGCAACTCTCTCTGAATAGTCGATGCGACACTGCTTGATTAATGTCTAGCTTATCTAGGACCGGGTCCGCAAACTGCAAATGATAATGAATAACAACGTTAAGGTACACAGAACAACATCCTCAGACCTTGCTCACGCTGGCGGTGAATACCACCACCTCATAGATTTCGCCCATCTTCTTCAGGAAGTCATCCACACCCGGACGCTTGGTGACGTTCACATCGTGCCAAAGACACTCAATCTCTACTGGTACAATATAATCCGCGTGTTGAAGAGACTGAAAGTCCGAAGGAATGTGTCAAAAATAGCATACAATGTAAGGTGGAATACTTACCCCAAAACTGCTATGAACAAGGGTCTCGTCGAGGTCAAGGACGAGACATTTGCGCCCCTTGTGTTGGGATGATATCGGGGGCAAAAGTGGGTGTGGTACACCATCCTAGCGATTAACAAATATCAACTGCAGTCTATGAAAATATTGTAAGGCTCACGAGCCCTATCGGGATGCCAGTACCTCCATCCAGGGTGAGAGCATCCTCCATCGGTTCGACTTCTTCGATTTCAGGTACTTCCTTTTCTCCGTGGCCCTCTTTAAGGTCTGTGACACTGTTTTCAGAATCTGTCGCTGTATGTGAGATATCTTCAGCATGTGATTTGGTACCCCTCGATGATGTGTATGATGCGTCATCACGAGAAAAGTGTAAAGGCGAGAATGTATCTGTCCCTGTCGATCCTGGGGGTTGGACCGCTCCGCTGGTCATCCTCTCTGTTTCAAACCTGGGGAAGAAGGCCGTGGTTGGCATGACGGAAACGTCAACGTCGACCTCTGGGAGGGTGGTTTGCATTGAGAGAGGGGACGCTTCCGAGTCCATAATTACTGGGAAAGTTGGCTTTTCCCGTTCCTTCTTAACTTCATCCTGCTTTTCACTGGAGCCGGCCGGTGGCGCTGAGCTATTGTTGGCTGCCGAGTCAATAATCTTGTATTGCACGCAATCATGACTATCGACGTCAGTCGCATGCGCGTGATCGCTAGGGGCATTGCATGGCATGAGCTTGCGGACCAGTTTCGTCATGAAGGATTCCTTCTTCTGAGAACTTCCTGTAGACTCAGTCTCGTTCACTGGAGTATTTGGTACTAGAATCAGCAACCTTATCAGTTAGTTATTGAATCAGTCGGGCACTTCCCTGGCAATCATGACATGCATGAAGTTCGACTAGTCAACTAGTCACACTCCGCTAACTGACTAAGGTTTCTAAACTCCGCCTAGTCATACCACTGCCCGATTTCCTGATCATCCATCCCCAATCCCGAAAACTTTGTCGGTGACACATTTGATATGATTACCATCAGGGAAAACTCCGGATTTTGCCAAGCACGCATAATCGACTCCCAACAAGTGGAAGCACTTGCTATCACCACAATCACCTGCGAGCATTTACGTCAACCGTTTAACAGTGTTGCAATGTACATCACCAAAATGTCCTATTCCAGCGCTGGCATGCTAAGGGCGCATCAGCCCTTGGAA